CAATGATTCAAAGAGACGTTATTCAAGATAAGTCATGCATTTCTACGTTCACTGGTATAATCAAAGATTCCGTTCAAGGCAGCTGCCATGGTGTGTACCTTACCACCTTTAACACACGTTGTCAGTCCGCTCATTGACTAGCATGAAATCGTTTGTAGCAGGAGTACTCTTGTTTGTAGTGAGGATCAATCTACAAAACACTATTGGTAAAAACAATCCAGAGTCACCTCGATGGAGACGGACAGTTCCTACGAGACCTGCCTGTCGACATCAGGGTCAAATGGCAAGTCATTTAGCCGTTACGCACGACAATCTCAGGAACACCAGTCATGTCCTCCTCCGACGAACCAGCTACTGTATGTAACTTCAGAACTCAGAACGACACAATTATACAAACAGAATGAAAAATGCTTCATCGACGGTGTGACTTTGCGTTTCGCTTCGTGTTTCTTTGTGTTTCTCTTGAAAATCTAGCAAAATTGAGTCATTCGCATGAAAATGTCTGGTTACGTCAGCGAAATCCGCTGATTTTCCCCATTTTTCAAGCGCTGAATGGCGCAAAAACTGTGAAATCACGGCAACGAAATAGTGTTCGACGAGCAAACAAACCTCCTTGCACCGGCATTGGTGCACAGCTTCGGGACGGCCAAGTTCTCAAATCGTCCTCTAGAGACCCTTACCTACCTCTGTGCGAAGTTTCAAGTCCTCTCTCTGAAGTGGCATACCCCGAAAATAAAAAGCATCCTACAGATTTCAGCTCCAGGACTATAGGTTTTGTCCATCATCCCTAGCACTAGCACTGCGCAGGTGTTCACTTCAAATGCATGTGCACGCATTTGTGGGATATGAATAAAAATCGTATATTCAATTTTCTGTGTGCACCCCAAAGCAATTTTGTCCGTCAAGGCTTATAATATGGCCCAGTTTATGCAAAACTGGACCTTAGGGTGCGTTCCTATATTCTCTAGCTTCTAGGAGAAGAAGAAAAGAGAAGTCAAAGAAACCGGGATAATTCAAGAACGGGTCTCAAAAAATTCGGAGATATTTTGCACATGTCAAGGAAAATGAAGCGCCAAAGGAAGCGATCTTGAGTGATGAATGTAATATGCACGTGTGCGTATGCGAAAAGGGAAATGGGTACACTCATGATCAACACGTGGCTTTTAGTCGTAGTTCGCAAGCACTGATCCCAAATCGCGGGAATCTCCATTGCAAGTTTCAACCACCTCTGAAGCTTGGAGACCCTCCTAAAAGTCGGAGAGAATAGGAAAAGCTTTCGAACTTTTCGGAGAGTGTCCAACTTTACCGAGAGGATTTAAGAACGCACCCTTAGTTAGGGTGCTTTTTCACAAAAATTAATAATGTTTTTCTGCTTTTGTCATCTAGAGGTATCTAGTGATCACATGGCAAAGTATTAAACGGAACAAATCAATATCGATGACCCAGAAGCTTCTTAAACAAGCATAGGTACATATCAGGAAATATAACAATTTATCACAGCGTTTTCCACATCAGAATACTATGTGTTACAAAAGGCAGTGAATAAATCAGCCATCCAGTTGTTGTTGCACAACAACTCTCGGGCAGCCTCTGGCGTAGAGCATGGATGGTCTTGATCCTCATCACTGCGGACCAATAAAAATTGCTTGAACACCATCCCAAGTCTGCTGAAAACCCACAGAAGTCCAGAACAGGAGGGAGGGTAGCTACAACTACACCTGGAGTCCCAATCTGTGCATGCCGCAGGGGAAGCAACATTCTAACAGCACGGACTTCATCTTGTACATGCTTCTGTGGTACATGTAGTCCATCCTGGTTCTGCTTCAAATTTGATCTCTGTGGGAAACTCAGTGGTAGCATACGCGTCAGTGTGCCATGATTCCAGCGCTGAGCGCAGAGAGTTCATAGATCACAACAGACACAGGTTAGTTCAGCTCTTGCCCCATGCTAGGATTTTGGTGTACAGCACGGAGTTCAGGGTGACAGATCATGTCATAAGCGGCAGAGCTCTTTGGTCCTAACTCGAGTTGATCCAGGACATTTCAGTTGAACCGCCTCTGTCGCCGGTGCCTCACTAGTGTGTCTCCTCGTTGTGTATTTCTCCTGACTGGAGCTGTCCTAAAATCATAAGGGCCCTACGAGGATTTCAAGATGTCAAAAAGTACTTCCACCAGCGAAGAGCTTCTTTGGCGGAGCGCATAAATAAAGTTGAATTTCTCGTTGCTAAAATAGGAATTGGGTGTCGACAAAAACATCTTGTGAGAACTGTTGTCGTTCTCTACCAGACGCGACGATTCCTACCTAGGGAGTCCAATGACTTCTTGCAGAGATGGACAGCAGTTGGCCATCATGAGCCAACGCTCCTACTACACTTTTAGGACAATCAAAAGCTTTCATTGTCGCAATGAACTAATTTTTGTTTGGATATGCACATCGCGAAGCAAGAGATTTTTGCCGTTGCAGAAAATGACTTTTTCTGCCAAAACATATTTTCACCCGTAGGTCGATTCTCGCTGCTACTGGGCCAAGGAATAATATTATTATTCACAAAGAATAATGTCTGCGGCCTTCATCCTATTCATGGCTATATTAAAAGAATAGTACTAGTCAAAATAATATTTTGAAAGGATTGGGAGAACTTCAAATTCAAAGGATCAATTGGGGAAGTGAACTGCCTGAATTTTTTCTCTTTTCAGGCAGTTCACTTCCCCAATTGATCTTTCAAAATAATATTCTTCTTCTCGACCTGCTGGTGTTTTTTGAGTCTGCACGCCAAGAAACACCGGCTACTGCACTTGTATTCCCAGCATCTGTTTATGCTTGACGCAAGGAAATCGTTATTTCTTGATGCCGCTTTCTAACGTTACTTAACTTACCCAAGGTAGTGATCTACCTAAGACTACCCGAAAGTATATCTTCACACTTTACCCATGTCATGACCCCCAATTGGTTAAAAAAATTCTAATTGTCCACAAACTCCAATGCAGCCACTTGCACATTCGGGAAACTTCACTTCTCAACTCCAAACTCCAAAAACTGACTTGTTTAGGGAAAACAATGGAAAATCCACAACTGGCTTTAATCGGTCAGAAAAAGGCTAAAAGCCACTCGACCCATTTGTAAGCTATGAGATTAGGCCGTAGCGGTAAATCCATCAGCCTTGCTGGCTGTTGAATGTTGAAATCCCTCAGCCAGGTTTCTTTCCGGGGTGTAGATCAACTTTACAAAATCCTTGAAAATATGACATATTTCCAATGACTTCTTCTGAAGGAATCCTTGGAACTGGCATGTACATTTTTCAAATTTACAGCTACAGTACTCGATCTGCGGACAGAACTGTTTTGCCCTTTGTGGACTCATCAGCGCAACATAGAGAAAATGGACCTGATAGCAGTGAGAAATAAATTTTCCAAAGCCAGATTTAAACCAGGCGCGAATGCACCTTGCCAGAGTGCTCCAACCGACAACTCAGTGAGCTCTGCATAACGCAAACAGCAAAGGCACTACCCACCACGAGAGTGCTCAACTTGTATGAACAGGAGCGAAATACTGTAATTTCTCAAATTTTCGGTGTACTTTTATTTTCGGTACGTCTTGTTCATACCTAAAATTTCAATACACCGAACAAACACTAACACACATAATCCAATAGGGAACTGCTTCTCTGTACCGAAAATTTCTGTTCACCTAACCTGGCCTGTTGCCTTCATACCGAAAATATTGAGCACCAAAAATTTCTGAAATTAGAGTACTCAATCCGGGGACAGAACTGCTTTGTCCTTCGTTGACTCATCAGCGCAGCACAGAGAAAATGAGGCCGGACCTGATTTGAATTGAAAATAATTTTTAAAAGCCAGATTTAAACCAGACCCGAACACACCTTGCCACTATGCCAGAGTGCTCAAACCGACAAGTCAGTGAGCTCTGCATAACGCAAACAGCAAAGGCACTACCCACCACGAGAGTGCTCAACTACTAGAAGAGCAGGAGTGAAATACTAAATGTTTCGTTCTTTGTGGACTCGTCAGCGTAGCATAAAGAAAATGAGATCGACCCTGACAGCAATGAACAATAGAATTTCCAAAGCCAGATTTAAACCAGGCCCGAACGTACCTAAATTAACTTTACAGCTACAAATGATCAGCCATTTTAGCGATCATCAGACAGCAGACAGCAGCATTTATTATTGTATATCTGTACATAACCATTCTGGTGTTATGGTTGCCAATTGTGTTCTAAGGCGGCAAGAAAAGATACAAATAAGACTGGGATGATTAAATATGTGGCTGTAAATATCAAGATCATCAGCAGCAGCAGCAGCAACGAGAGAGAGAGAGAGAGAGAGAGAGAGAGAGAGAGAGAGAGAGAGAGAGAGAGAGAGAGAGAGAGAGAGAGAGAGAGAGAGAGAGAGAGAGAGAGAGAGAGAGAGAGAGAGAGAGAGAGAGAAAGAAAGAGAGAGAAAGAGAGAGAGAGAAAGAAAGAGAGAGAGAGAGAGGGAGGGAGGGAGATAGAGAGAGAGAGGGAGAGATAGAGAGAGATAAAGAGAGAGAGAGAGAGAGAGAGAGAGAGAGAGATAGGTAGATAGAGAGAGAGAAAAAGAGAGATGTCTGTATGGTTGATGAGTCCAGTTTTGTTTTGTAATTTGAGACCATTTATGATGAACTCGGATGGAGAGCCAAGGATAAATGTATAGAAAGGAAAAGAAAAGTGGACATAATAGCGAAACGTGTAGTTCCCTTGTCCTTTTTCTTTTCTATAGTATAGATATATGATGATGGCGGCTATAGGGTCGTGATCCAGGAATGATTCCATCCAAAAAATAGTGCAAGGAGTTGTAATGATGGCTTGTTGATGCAACTCTATGACACTATCGACCAACAATTCTGTATTGGTAAAGTATGTTTCTATATGCCTGACTGCTTGTATGTTTGCTTTTGTGCATGTGTTCCTCTTCATATGTGTGTGTGTGTGTGTGCGTGTGTTTGTTGGTTGTGCGGACGTCCAGGTCATTCGGTCGAGGACGGGGAATACAAGACTAGGCCTCTGAGCGAACCTTGGCAACGGAGGGTCAACAACCTATTGACTATTGATACCATGTCAAGGGAATTAACGTCAACCGCGTGTGGAATGGACAGCATTGTATTCGACGTGTGGGTAGAACATGTACTGCCCTTGTTGTCCATCCGGGACATCTTTCGGCTGTGTGGAACCTCCAGGCAGGTTCCGTCGCTGCTGTTCTGGGAACACACGTTTAGACATCTATGTCGGGTAAGTAGTTTGTTTACTTGAAGTTCTAATTTAGATTGCAAAACAATCGGGCATTGATGTCCAATATTATAATGGCGATAGAATAAAAAATGAAAAGTGTCTCGAGAAAATGAGAGAAATAAAGGGAAAATACATGTACTGGGAATTACAAGCCTTTTTTTTACAAACTTTACAATCAGACAAGAACGGGGAAATGAGGGCAGATGCTCAAGGGAGGTAATGTTAGGCTAGGTTAACCATGGACGAACACTTTCAGCATTAGTTCTAACGAATTATGGCGACAAGTGGAGGTGATCTCCTGTGGCAGGGTGTTCCAAAGCTTCACGGCGGAAACCAATGGTCAGCTGTTGCCAGGTGTTCCCAGCGTTAGAGGGGCACAACGTATTTGCAATTGTCATTACTACGGGTGTTCCTGGGATGTTGGAGTTACTGTTTTAGAATAGAGCTAATGCTGGTGGTGTGAACATGGTGCATAAGGAAACGGAGCTTGCATTTTGCAAGTTCAATGGCGAGAATGAATCATGTTAGACATTCGGTGAATTATCATGGGAGCTAAGTGTTTGAAATGCTAAAGAACTCTAGTATGCAGTTTTGTTGTGGGGGGGGGGGGGGGAGTCGGCACACAACGCCGTCTCCTGTTCACACTCGAAATGCAGCCGTTTTGTCCGTATACGTCTCGTTGCAATTCTACTTTACTATTCCCGGGGAATTGTGTGTTTCTCCCTACGTGTGAGCTTGCGCTATTCCTGCCGACTGGAATTCTCACTTGACTGACTCACGACAACCATCCAGAGCACACGAGAAGTCCATTGAATCTTCCACTTCCATTCTATTATTTAAATTGAGAAAATCACAGACGGAAGCGTCTAAGGAAAACTGGCTGTACTATCATAATGATCAGGTCCAATTGTCAACCGATATGCCTCACGAATGCACAAATAAGTTGTTTTCACTATCAATTTGTGTATTCTTTGTCCCATGCGTGCAGCAACGCTATCAACTCAGTCCTGCTTTGGACGTGTCATATATAGACGTTGCCAGAAACCTGGAAATTGTCACCGGTGTGGCTGGCCTGTATCATAGCCGGTGCATCGATACCATGCATTGCATTTACGGCAGCGATGTGGATGTTGGTTTGGTCGGCAGAGAAAAGAAGCAGTCGATTATCACACTGTCGTGCCTAGAGTTGATGCTGCCAGCACAGTCGAGTCATACCACGAGCTGGGACAGCGCTGGCCTGTTCAAGTCACTCGCCGAACGCCATTTACTACATGCACAAGAAGATCGAGAGTTCCTACCAAACCTTTTGCTGAGGGAAATCGACCGAAACGTTAAGTCGACCAAAGACTTGAGTTCCCTTTGCTTTGAACCATTGCAGTACCTGTTTAGAGATGTGGCAGATTTGTTCAAGCGTTTCGCATCGAAGAAATCGCGTCAAGCAGTGATTATCAACTCGATGGAACCACTTGTTTCAAGGATGACCAAATACATACCTTACTTTAACCGCTCGCGGAGGCTTATGAAAATTGCGCATTCCCTGCACAATTTAGCCCAGAAAGACAGAAAATTGTTATCAGCTCTGGAACTTGAAGATCTCAACGCATTTCCCCTTATCGACGATGATGATGAGTGGACGGACTCGTATAACCCTTACTACCATTGTGATATCAACTATTACGACAATTATGATCTGGGCGAAGATATGGATATGTCCCGAACATTGGTCGACATGGCCGCCAAGCTCTCAGAAAAGCACTCAGTTCTGAAGCTGCTGATAATGGGTAGGCTTAAGACATTGAATCCCGAGAATTACTTCATGGCTCTCAACGAATATGAAGAATTCTGGAAGAGTTTGGCTAAGTCAAGTCGCCCCAGTCGTAAAGTTCTATGCAGCGGCTTGGGAAGCCATCTACTTTCATCAATATCAGGATCGCCTGATCAGAAGCTATGGACAATACCGGAGCTAGTGAACGCCATGAAGAATTTTGGAAAAAACTAGTTTTCTTTGCGGCCAGAAAAGCTACCGCTTTCAGAGAAGCAAAGAAGACCAGAATGTGTGCAAGAAGACGAAAAGAAAGAAGACGAAGAACGCGAAGAATAGTCCGATTATCATCTAAACAGCGCCCCGTGTCAACAACCGATTCCCATGGCGATCACACCGACACACACGCGCACGCAGACACACCAAGACACGTATACACATGGAGGTACATTTGACACCCCACATTACATTGTATATTGCAATGTTATGCATCTCGAACTTCGTGATTGTATACCTCCTTATTTTGATAGTCCACTTCACCCGCCCTTGTTAACACTAACAGTGTTAGTCACGGCTAGTTGTTACCGTTTCAAGTATTCAATGATGATGATGATTGACTAGATCCTTCTTATCCTCTGTTCAGGTGATTCTACTCTCTCATGCATTCAGTGTTATAATTACTATCCAGCTCTGTCCGACTTGTGTTCAGTTGCCTGCATGCTCCAGTTTGTGTTTGTCTAGGATCTGCTGTGTGCGTTTCATCTCTCTGTTATGTCTGTAGTGATCTTGTGTCTTGGTGCCTGAGGCGCGCTTGCTGTCACGCATTCATGTATTCATGCTCTGATGTCTAGACTTTCACTTGCGCGTGCGCTGCGTGCGTGTGCCGGCTCTTTTCCCGTGTATCTATGCATTATGTTGCTACACTACAGTTCCGGCTTATAGTTCCGTTTTGAGTCGGACTTTTGACTTTAGTTTTCTCAGCTGTTGCTGTTGTGCTTTTAGTTGTTTTCAAGTCAGATTCCTTTTTCCTTCTCTGTTGTTGCTCATGATTATCAAGACTGTAAAAGTATGGAAGTAAGACAATAACTCCAGTGTGAGTTTATGAGCTATTGTTGGTAGTTTGGGTGCTTGCATCCAAACATCTGGTCCTTCGAGCCGGATCAGTGGATCCGAATCGGTTCGAGAGTTGTCATTTCGTAGATCTACCAGTGCAGTGATTAGAGAAATGGCGGAACCTGGAAAAAGTAGCAGGAGCACGAAAGGTGTTCCCCCAGTAAGGTTCAGAGAGCCTGAGGCAGAGCTAGACGATACGAAGAGTAGTGTCTCTTCCCTGACATCGTCCGCTTCCTCTACTGCTTCCAGGCGTCGCAGAGCGGAGTTGAAGTCGGCGGTGCGGCTAGCAAAGCTGGAGCAGGAGTTTGAAGTCCAGCAGCTCAAGCGACAGAAAAGAATCCTGCAGCTGGAGCTAGACGCCGAGTTGGCTTCCATTGAAGGAGACGAACTAGAGTCAGAGGGACGTCCGGAGGAGACGGAGCCGTCCACTGACGCGTCATTTCAGACCTGCGCTGAGAGCCTGGCGTTGTTTGCGCGGAAGATGGCGGCGTCTGATGATGAGACTGACGATGACGACCAGGCAGTCACGGAGCGAAGCGTCTCCGCTGGTCCTCCCGCTGCAGGTTTTGTAGCTCAAGCGTTCAAAACCGACGACCGGTTGAACGGGGAGCTCAAGTCTGAGACTCTCCAGAGCCGTGGCGTTTCTCGCCTTGATGGAGATGGCTCCACCGCAGACAAAGCGACCGAACAGCAGGACAGCGTTCCTGCTGAAACACAAGTGTCCACCCCTGTCGGTGTTGACAGGACGCCAGCTCCGGTCGCTGTAGGGCTTGACAAGCCTAGTGGTAGTAGTATGGAGATTACTCCAGTAGTACAAGGTCATTTGGGAAGATCGTGGCCTCAGGCAGCTTCAGATACAGCACGTGGAAAAGCTGACAGAGTGAGCAGCTGGGTACAGGGCGTTCAGAGTGCACCCTTCAGTGGTATCAGCCAACATCAGATCCAGCCACTGGAACTACCCAAGTTTGATGGTTCACAGAAGAACTACATCAGGTGGAGGCAGAAGTTTCTGAGGCTGGTGGACGACGACCACATGGTCTCAGAAGATTACAAGATGGCCCGTCTAAGGGAAGCTCTAGAAGGTGGCACGGCAGATGACCTGATTGCGGATCTGCTGGATGGCCCTGGCGCATACAGCGCTGCGCTCAAGGAGCTAGATGAGTGGTATGGGAGTAATGACCGCGAGCTCGAGCGCCAACAGCAGGAACTTCTAGCACTTCCACGGATCACCTCAGAAAGGGACTCCGACAAGCTGCAGCAGTTGGCCGTCAGACTGCGGAATGTTCTGTTGAACATGTCAACTGCCAGTTTAACACCAGGCCGTGATCTTTACATCGCAATCACGCAGAAGCTTCCCCGCGGGATGTTGACGAGGTTTGTCGAGTCTCATGACGATTCTTTAACGAACGTGAAGACACTATCCACCTGGTTGATGAAGCGAGTGCACACCCTGCGTCAAGTTGATGCCAGGCTGACCGAGTCTGACCAAGATCAGAAGAAGCCTGCACTGTCCAAGCCACCGCAGCGTCCAGCTCAGAACCGACCATGGAACCCTAGGGGGGCGGAGCGATCGTATGCTGCCGGTCCCCCCAAGCAGAGTGCACAGTGCCTGAAGTGCAGCGGCAGTCACCCCCTGGAGCGGTGTCCTGCCTTTGAGAAGATGTCTGTCCCTGATCGCTGGCAGCTAGTCAAGAGCAGTAGTCTGTGCATCTGCTGTTTCCGGCCCGGGCACAGAGCGTACAAGTGTGACACCGGCAAGTGTACGGTCTGTCAGAAGACGCATCATGCTATGCTGCACATAGAGCAAAAAGGGAGCGCTTCCAACACACGCACCACCGCAGGAGCGTCCGCCAACGGCACGCCTACAAGCGAGAAGGTGACCTACCATGCCAGTGCAGACTCAGTCCTGCACCCGTCTAGCAGCACAACGTTCATCGATGATGGGATCTCATTCATGACTGTGCCAGTATTGCTGAAGAACGAGGACCGAGTGGTCGAGTGTACTGCTCTCTTCGACTCTGGGTCGACAGCCAGCTACATCCAGAAGGACGTTGCAGATCTTCTTGGCATCCAGCCAGCATCGCAACCACTGAAGGTCCAGACGCTAGGAGGGAACAGCGTCAGCACAGATGCAACCCAGTCGACAGTCACCATCTCCAGCAGCGACGGGAGCTATGTTTCCTCATTGGACGCTTGGGTCTTGCCACAGGTAACTGGAGACTCCAACATCATCGAGTGGCACGCGCGCAAGAGTAGTTGGGACCACCTACGAGAGATCGACTTCCCAGTTTCCCATAGTAAGAAGATTGGTATCCTCATCGGCCTCAATGCTACGCCGCTCCACAAGGCTCTGGAGGAGAGATGTGGCCCACCCGGCAGTCCAGTGGCACGACTCACCCCGCTCGGTTGGGTGTGCTACGGCCCGACATCAGCTCAGGCTGACCCAGCTCGTGTGGCCACCCATTGTGCTGTCCGTCTACCGAGTGACAGCGTGGAGCAGGCGGACGATCGCTTGGACGACCTGGTGAAAGACTTATGGAATGTCGAGAGTGTCGGTCTCGGAGTCAGCCCAACGTACCGAACGCCAGCCGAACAGGAAGCAGAAGCCATGACGACCGCGACCTTGTCGTATAGCGGTGGGCGGTACTGTGTCGGCATCCCATGGCGCAGCGCGGATGGCCCGAAGGTGCGGAACAACCGGCCAATGGCAGAGCGCCGTCTCCGTAGCCAAGAAAGAAGTCTTGAACAGAAGCCGCACATCGCGGCAGAGTACAACCGCGTCCTTGTATCGCACATGGCAAAAGGGTACATTAGGCAAGTGCCAGCAGAAGAGGTAGCTGCGGATGGAGAAGATCAGTGGTTCGTTCCGCACTTCCCCATCGTTCGCCAAGACAAGGTCACCACCAAGGTGCGGGTGGTGTTCGACGCGGCCGTCTCTTGGAGTGGATGTAACCTCAACGAGGAGATGCACGCAGGCCCACCACTGCAGAGCGACCTTGTACACATCCTGCTACGGTTTTGTATGGAGCCAGTGGCAATCGTCGCCGACATCAGCGAGATGTTCCTTCAAGTTGGCCTCCGGCCAGACGACAGGAAGTACACCAGATTCCTGTGGCGAAAGGACAACAACAGCGAGCCCGAAGTCTTTGAGTTCAACAGACTGGTTTTCGGGATGAAGGCATCGCCCTACCTCGCCACCAGAGCGTTGCGACAAACGGCGGAGGATTTCTCCAGCAGTGACCGAGACGACAGCATCGACATTCCAGCGCTGGTCAACAAGGCTTTCTACGTCGATGATCTTCTACACGCTACCCAGGACGAGTCCCAGGCAGTAGAGATTCAGCAGAAGTTGGACGCAACACTCAGCAAAGGCGGCTTCCACTTGCGCAAGTGGCACAGTAATTCAGCAGCCGTGCTCGACGCTATCCCACCAGCAGACAGAGCACCCCAAGCCCAGGTCATGTTAGAAGACGCGGCTTGCAACGCACCGCCTGTTTCCAAGACTCTTGGAGTGACCTGGATGGCAGACAAGGATCAGTTCACGTTTGTGTATAACGCGCCAGCCGAGGACTATGCCATCACGAAGAGATCGGTCCTGCGGAAGATGGCGACGATCTTTGACCCGCGCGGCCAGCTGCTACCGTTCACCATCAGAGCGCGGATCCTGTTTCAAGAGGCCTGTATTGCCGGCCATGGTTGGGATGACCCTCTCAGCACAACAGAGGTGAAGAAGTGGAAGACGTGGTTCGCGGAGCTACCGGACCTCACCTCAGTGTCAGTTGACCGTTGCTTCAAGCTTGCAGGAGCACTCCCACAACCATGTGCCACTGAGGTTCACACCTTCACGGACGCGTCCGATGCAGCGTTCGCTGCGGCATCGTATGTGCGAGTCACCTACCCAGACGGACAAGTGAAGGTCACGCTGTGCATGGCAAAGAGTCGTCCAACGCCAATCAAGAAGATGTCAATTCCGAAGCTCGAGTTGAAGGCAGCGGCCCTGGGCGTACGTTTGAGCACGGAGGTCGCCACAGCTCTTGACATCCCAGTAGCGCACCACTTCTTCTGGACGGACAACATGAATGTTCTGTTCTGGGTGCGTTCTCACAGTCGCAAGTTCGCCACAGACGTCGGTGTGAAGATAGCGGAGATCCAGACAGTGACCTCTGGTAAGCAGTGGCAGCATGTGCCCGGCAAGTCAAACCCAGCAGACCTCCCAACACGCGGAATGACAGCTTCAAGTCTCGCAGCGTGTGACGAGTGGTGGCAAGGCCCGAGTTTCTTGCAAGCGCCGCCGTCAGAATGGCCGAACCGTGACATCGTTGTGCCGACGAATTTGCCTGGAGAAACCAAGCGCCACCAAGCATCGTCCCTGCTAGCCACCGGTCCGAGCATTGACCGCCTCCAACCAGATCGATACAGTTCCTGGATTCGCCTGAAGCGTGTCACTGCGTGGTGCAGAAGGTTCTTTCGGCACGCCAGCAAAGGGAAATGCTGCAGGCAGGACACACCGCAGACTGGAGGATCGGCAGCGGTGGAAGGCACCATGGTGTCCCTCGAATACCAGCGTACGAGAAAACCGCAGAAGTTTCTCGTGCAGCCCCTCACAGTTACTGAACTGGAGTCAGCTGAAGATGTGTGGTTCGCTAAGGCTCAGCAAGACGAGTTCAATGAGACGATTGAAGCGTGTAGAAGTCAGCGGCCCATCCCGGCGTCAAGTCCACTGCTACGCCTACAACCGGTTCTGGATGACAGCAACCCTCAGCTACTGCGGATGGACGGCAGGTTGAGCACGGCACATCACCTTCCCAGCAGCCTCCGTAGGCCCGTCATTCTGCCAACGAAGCATCCGGTCACAGCCCTTGTAATCGCTCATGAGGATGCGGCTCACAATCACACTGCTGGCGTCAACCACCTGTTGTCGACCCTGAACTCGAAGTTCTGGATTGTACATGGCCCAGCGGCAGTGAAAAGGCACCGGAGCCAGTGTACGGCCTGCAAGAAGATTTGGGCAAAGCCTGCTCAACAGCTGATGGCACCACTACCCGACTTCCGCACCGAGGAGCCTTTCCGAGCTTTCAGTCGGGTGGGCGTGGATTACGCCGGACCCTTTCTGACGAAGCAAGGGAGAGGAAGAAGTCGAGCAAAGCGCTATCTCTGCTTGATGACGTGTCTTCAGAGCAGAGCAGTTCATCTTGAGATGGCGTATGGCTTGGACACGGAGAGCTTTCTGCTGGCATTCACCAGGTTCGCGAAGAGAAGAGGTGTACCGGATCTCGTCGTGTCCGACAATGGTACCAACTTTGTGTCAGCCGAGCGTGAGCTACGAGAAGCCATCGAAAGCCTCAAGAACAGCCAGGTTGCCGCTACCATGGCCTGCAAAGGCGTGGAGTGGAGGTTCAATCCGCCACGCTCACCGCATCACGGCGGGGTCTTCGAAGCAATGGTCAAGTGTGCCAAGAGAGCGTTGGTCGGCATCTTGCACAATGCTGTGTGTTCTGATGAGGAGCTCCAGACTGCCTTCACCACTGTTGAGGCTCAGCTCAATCGTCGACCTCTAACGGCCCAGAGTGGAGATGGACAAGACCCGGAGCCGCTAACACCCTCGCACTTTCTAGCGGGATCGACGACCGTGATGACCGCGGTCGAGGAAGATGGCCAGGCGTACCACCTCAAAGCCTGGAGGGTGTTGCAGAGCTGTTTAGCCGCGGTCTGGAAGCGCTGGCTACAAGAGATGGTCCCAAAGTTGAACATACGTCAACGATGGCAGAAGAGCCTTCCCAACATCCGGATTGGAGACGTGGTGCTTGTCCTGGACGCGCACACTCCTCGCGGCCAGTGGCCCCTCGGGAGGATCGAAGCGATCTACCCAGGCACCGACGGAAGAACACGTGTTGTCGACGTGAAGGTGAAAGGGAAGCAATACCGCCGACCTATCACTGTGCTCATCCCGATAGATGCGGTGCGCACTCCCTGAGCAGAAGAGTTATGGCAGCTATTGCGTTTTTGCACCACTCATTAGGTATGACAATCTGTGCTGTGTGCATGATACTTGTTAAGTCTGATAGAAGGCTATAGAACTAACTTTAGGGTCATTCTTATTCTGCGATAGAGAAAATTACGCTCTACCTCTCTTGTTTACGCTCTACTTCTTTGTTGCTTGTTCGTGAAGCTACAGACGATTAGTACATTGCGATTTAGAGTGTTTTCGTTCCCATTCTGCTTATGGTCCCTCAAGGAGGGGGTGATGTTCAGGTGATTCTACTCTCTCATGCATTCAGTGTTATAATTACTATCCAGCTCTGTCCGACTTGTGTTCAGTTGCCTGCATGCTCCAGTTTGTGTTTGTCTAGGATCTGCTGTGTGCGTTTCATCTCTCTGTTATGTCTGTAGTGATCTTGTGTCTTGGTGCCTGAGGCGCGCTTGCTGTCACGCATTCATGTATTCATGCTCTGATGTCTAGACTTTCACTTGCGCGTGCGCTGCGTGCGTGTGCCGGCTCTTTTCCCGTGTATCTATGCATTATGTTGCTACACTACAGTTCCGGCTTATAGTTCCGTTTTGAGTCGGACTTTTGACTTTAGTTTTCTCAGCTGTTGCTGTTGTTGTGCTTTTAGTTGTTTTCAAGTCAGATTCCTTTTTCCTTCTCTGTTGTTGCTCATGATTATCAAGACTGTAAAAGTATGGAAGTAAGACAATAACTCCAGTGTGAGTTTATGAGCTATTGTTGGTAGTTTGGGTGCTTGCATCCAAACATCCTCTTTTTTATTTATTTTGTCAGTTCTAGTTTTGGACATGATTGTTCTCAGTCTATCATAATTAGTACATTTGGAATTACATATTATAACGATCGATTGCATTAGCATGTCTGTCCACAACATGTTTTAAATTTTCGGAATTTGGTTGAGTTTTACTCAATACAGCACATGAATGATGACAATTGTATGGTACTCTTTGTTGGCTTTGTATTTTTATTAATTCTATTTATATGTAGAAAGGAAAAAGACATTACAAGTTAAGTTGAGAGCACTGACTAGACTCGGAGTGCACCCGCCGCAGTAGATCTAGGTGTACTGCTTCTTGCGCGCTCTGAATGAGTGTGGGAGTCTAATGACGTGAAAAACACGTCACGCAACTGTGTAGGAGTATGGTTCAGACAAGGCCCACGTCATCTATTTTTGCTCTAGTTATGTCACATGTACACCTGTACACGCACAGCATCAGCCGGGGGTATGAATTGAAGCCAATGAAGGTATACAAAGCAAGACACGGATAGCATAGCATAGTATAGCCGGGGTGGTGGTCGGGGACGTGGTGGACTCAGCTTGTGAGTTTCAGCTCCTTGCGCTTCTAGCTCCCCTATTATTATACAGTAGTCATTGTACGTACTTATAATAATGACGTGCAGTCTGCACGTAATACATGTTGTAATCAACTAATAGGCCCCGAAATTCAAGCTGAATCGACTGCCTGATCACGGATCGTAGGGTGCCTGTTGGCTTGGTGGTGTAACTGTGCTGCACACCTAACAATAAAGCGTAACGCCGTTGTTCGAGCAAGTCCAAGTCTTTAGCTGGCGTGTCCAAATAATGACGTGGGCGCCAACTGCGAGCCTCTTATCGACTCGATCGAGAGTCGAGACCGACTACATGTGATTAATGCATAATGAGTACACGTGATGTCGGTCTTCGGTTACAGGCTTCGGCTTCGTCTGCCATGTCTACGTGGCCACTCTTTGGCTTCGAACTTCGTCTACGTGGCCACGTGACGTAGAGGAAGCCAAAGGCAAAGGGGCCGAAGACCTACATCACGTGTTCATCTACGTGCGGCTAGTACATAGTCATTATGAATGACATCACGTGTTCATCTACGTGGGGCTAGTACATAGTCATTATACATGCACTTGGCCTTGGCAGTGTTGCACACGTAAGAATAACGCGCATTGTGTTCGATCACGTGACTTAGTCTTTAGCTAGCTGGCGTGTACGTGTCCCCAGCGGTTCGCATGGTCACTACCAGCTGTGTGTAAAAAATCAGTGGTTGTGGATTCGCCTACATAACAGCATGGGGATAAAAGGCTTTGGGAGAGATTTGTTTCAGTTGTAGCGGAGTATCACTATCAGTAGCTAACACTACTTCTAGTACTGACTGAGTACCCGAGGCTTGCCTTCCTACTGAACATATTTCAATTCTTCTCTAGATTTACTGATGGTGTTGCTGCCCCGCTGTAGCTAGGCGAATACACTGATTGTCGTAGTGGAAAGTCCAATAATTCTCTGCTAACTAGTACGAGGCTGCAGAATTCGGCAGAAGCTCAGCTAGACGGATCGAAGACTCTCACTACCATGGACGGTAAGTAAGTTGAACTGAAGGCTTGAACATCAACTTACTAATTTTGCTGCATTATCCCGTTGTTCGCAATTATTTTTTCGCACTAAAGCAAAGTAATAGTTTCGTTGCGTTGCTCGTGTCGGGACCAGGGAGTAGTAAAATACAGGGAGGTGACACGAGCATATACGGCCAGTTTGACGATTGCCTCAGCACCGTTTTCACCCGGCGGGTGAGATTGGGGTACTATGGGAACCGAAGTGTGTAGACACGCGCGCGGATGAGGATTCTCTCGATCAGGGAGTAGTAAAATACCTACCGCCAAAGAGACTCCTACTGCAGCCCGTAGAAACTCAGCGCTGAGAATTTCCAACAATTGTCTGCCTTCACAAAGTTTGGTAGTCGACCAAACTACCACTATGTCAGGATAGAAGTCCAGCAAGAGTGGTATCACTTTGGGAGATATCCCTGCGCGCCGTAGATTTTCCCTGTGTCGATACAAGCTGTTTACGACGATGTAGGCCGCATTTCAATCCTTCACAAACTTAGGAACATTTCATTCCGAAATGTGAACTCCCGAATCTCTAGCATACGATAATATGAAATGCTCATCATCACAAAGAAGGTAGAGAAGTACTGGTTGATCACAACTGAGGAGAAATTAGTGCCGATCGTGTGGTGTCCTAGAGATTTTTTCGACTTCGAAATCGGTGCACTCGCTTTTCATCTCCAATCATACACATATTGTTCTCAAGGAAATCACCTTCGTTCTATTGCTCCATGCCGTCGATCGGGACGAATTTCGGAAGGGTGATACCTTTCCATATGACGATGACACAGATGCATCACAAGAGCAAAACAAATGCTGTTCCATGAGATGGATAGACCTTTTCACGGAATTAGTTCTTCGACAAATACTCAAGATTGATTAAGCAGATCATCTTTTTTTGCAAAAGAAAAAAAAACAAGCGCGAGGCACCCATCGAAAATCACGATTAGTGGCGTGTCACCTCGCTGTATTTTACTACTCCCTGGTCGGGACTATCACACTAGGTTTTGTCCATCATCCCTAGCACTAGCGTGCGCAGATGTTCACTTCAAATGCATGTGCACGCAGTTGTGGGATATGAATAAAAATCGTATGCTCAGTTTTCTGTGTGCACCCCCAAAGCAAATTTGTCCGTCAAGGCTTATGATATGGCCCAGGATCTGCAAAAATGGACCTTAGGGTGCGTTCTTATATTCCCTAGCTTCTCGGAGGAGAAGAAAAGAGAAGTCAAAGAAACCGCTGAACCGGGATAATTCAAGAACGGGTCTCGAAGAATTCGGAGATATTTTGCACATGTCAAGCAAAATGAAGCGCCAAAGGAAGCGATCTTGAGTGATGAATGTAATATGCACGTGTGCGTATGCGAAAAGGGAAATGGGTACACTCATGATTAACACGTGGCTTTTAGTCGTAGTTCGCAAGCGCTGATCCCAAACCGCGGGAATCTCCGAGTTTCAACCACCTCTGAAGCTTGGAGAGCTTTGGAGAGCCTCCTTAAAGTCGGAGAGAATAAGAACAGCTCTCGAGCTTTTCGGAGAGTGTCCAACTTTTCCGAGAGGATTTAAGAACGCACCCTTAGTTAGGGTGATTTTTCACAAAATGACGTTTTGCTGCTTTTGTCATCTGGAGGTATCTACTGGAGAAGGGTCTCTCGCAAATAGTAGACACCGGCGCCGTTGTAAAAGCAAACATAGCTGCGGTTACCACGTAGCTCGGCAAGTGGGACAGGAATGCCAGTCTCCTCCATGTAGACATTGAAGTCAGCCATGCAGCCGGCCTGTTCGTTGCCATGCTTTTCAAAGGCATTGGCAGTGGTGCGAAGCATGCGGATCACTCTGGACTCGGTCGTGTCAAACACCCGTGGCAGCTCTGTGGCCCCAAATGCCTTGCCTTCGAAATGGACCTCTTCCCACTTTTTCAGGCACTCTTGGGCTTGGTCTGCTAATCCGAATATGTAGTGGAGTCCGCAGAAATAGTTGTTCATTGTTGTTAACTTGCTCTGCTGCTCCGATGTCAAATCCTCCCATCCGCCAACAACACTTGGCAATACGTCAGCACGGTATTCCTGCAGCAGTTGGTTGAATTTCTTCTGCACTATGCAGCGGTCACCCATGGTATTGGTGATGCCTTTCAAGATCTCCGCAATTTGTTCTTTGCCGTCGCCACTGCAAGCACTCGCGACATCTCCCAGTACTTGCTTAAGCTTGTCCAACACATGGTCTGCACTACCATACTTCATGTTCACAATTCCCAGAGTCAGCACTTCTGTGGCAGTTCGTGCCACCTGGTGGCTGCCGAACTTGAAGCCACCCTTACTTGTGCCATCGCTGTGGAGGGTGGTGCTAGATGCTTCCATCAGGGACTCGCCAACTTGCATTGAACTGATTTGCTTGAGCTCTACAACTACAAGCATTTTGGAGAGCAGCCCGGCACTTGGAAGGGGATCAGCTGATTTACCAACCATTTTCAATACGGTTCGGATAACTGGACCGACATGCCTTACTCCCACATTCATCGCCAGTAAGCCTAGACAGCACTCCCTCACAGCATCTCGATATTTCCCAACATCCATCGTCTTCACATCTGTGTCACAGTATTCC